CAACGTGAACAATCAATTATATAATATGACTACAACAGCTGATTTTATGTGTTTGTTCAATGTACACTTGAGAAATAATAAACCAATTATTTGTAAGTCACATTATCTTTACCTATGGTATCGCATTAGGGTTTTTCATGTTTGAAATTAAAAGAAGGTGCAACATTTTATTCAAATAATGCAATGCATAGTTATAAATGAGTTATGATTTAAAATATTGTACCTAATATATCTGTTTAATTATATTCATATCACATTATATCTTTAATGTTTTATATTATGTATGTTTCATTATTTTGTTTAATATCAATTATAGAAAAATTAAATTTAAATATTCCTTAAATTACAATTAAGTCAAGTCCTACTCATCACCCGTGAGTTTTATTTTTTGATTTAATTTATTTCAATAAGCACTTTTTGAACACACGGTTATTATCATGGAAATCTTAATTGCCATAATAATGAAAGTTTATGAACAATCATAACATAATTTTCACTGAATCAATGTGTTTTATTAATTTATTACGTGTATAAGATAATCACTCATATAATAATTTAGATTCTGTTAATTATTATTTTCTCTTTCAATCATTATTTAAAATGTTTCTATATTATCATTTAATAATACACACTGCTGACTATTAATAAATGATTTACTTATGATTACAAATAAATACATTTGTATTTGGTAAAATTATACTGAAAAAAATTGAGGATTCATTATACTGATTCTCTCCATTCTTACTAATGAGAGTATTCTAATAATTTAATATTTCATTAAATTACAGAACCCGAGAGATGTTTCTCATGTCAACGTGAACAGTCAATTTTATAATATGACTACAACAGCTGAATTTATGTGTTTGTTCAATGTATCACTTGAGAAATAATAAACCAATTATTTGTAAGTCACATTATCTTTAAGTATGGTAACGCATAAGGGTTTTTCATGTTTGAAATTAAAATAAGATGAAACATTTTATTCAAATAATGCAATACATAGTAATAAAGAAGTTATGATTGTTAAATATTGTAATATATCTGTTTTATTATATTAAAATCACATTATATCTTTAATGTTTTATATTATGTATGTTTCATTCTTTTGTTTAATATCAATTATAGAAAAATTAAATTTAAATGTACCTTAAATTACAATTTTGTAAAGTCCTACTCAACACCCGTGAGTTTTATTTTTTAATTTAATTTATTTCAATAAGCACTTTTTGAACACACGGTAATTATGATGGAAATCTTAATTGCCATAATAATGAAAGTTTATGAACAATCATCACAATATTTTCACTGAATCAATGTGTTTTATTAATTTATTACGTGTATAAGATAATCACTCATATAATAATTTAGATTCTGTTAATTATTATTTTCTCTTTCAATCATTATTTAAAATGTTTCTATATAATAATTTATTAATACACACTGCTGACTATTAATAAATGATTTACCTATTACAGTCAATTCCGCTTTATTGGGACACATCGGTTGGGTGTTATTTTGTCCCAATAAAGCGGTTGTCCCAATAATCCGAAATACAAAAACCAACAATTTGTTGAAAAACTGATTTGTTTTATATATTTTTATTATTACAAATTACAAACAATGTATTATAGAAATTATTTGATAGTACAAAAAGAAAAACATGATATAACCTAATTATTTATAAAAATACTTACATATAAAGTACATATAAATATTTTTTATTTTTTTATTATGTATTTTATCTTATTTAAAAAAACTGTTGATTTTGGTACTCCAAAAATTTCCGAAAGACGTCGTGTATTACAGCCTGGTAGCTGTAATTTAATTTTGTCCAGAATTTCTAATTTTTGAGCAAACGATAAATCTTTACGTTCACGAGCCATCGTTGCTACATGCGACAAACACGACTGATGCACCATTGCACCAAATAACATTTAACAACTATCACATTTGAACATACGATAAAAGATAAGATAAAATAAAGTAAAATAAGATAAAATGTTATGTAATAATCGATTACTAGAGTCCGTCACGATTGTTGAATTATTGATCTATTAATATACTTGATAAAAATGTCCCAATTATCCGGATTCGTGGCCCAAATAAGCGGTGAATGTTTACCCTACAAGTATACATTTGTTTTTGTAATTGAAGAATTGTCCCTATTAAGCGGCTGTCCTTATTAACCGGTGTCTCTATTAAGCGGAATCGACTGTATTTCAAATAAATACATTTGTATTTGGTAAAATTATACTGAAAAAAATTGAAAGTTCATTATACTGATTCTCTCCATTCTTACTAATGAGAGTATTCTAATAATTTAATATTTTATTAAATTCCAGAACCCGAGAGATGTTACTCATGTCAACGTGAACAATCAATTATATAATATGACTACAACAGCTGAATTTATGTGTTTGTTCAATGTACACTTGAGAAATAATAAACCAATTATTTGTAAGTCACATTATCCTTATCCATTGTAACACATAAGGGTTTTTGATGTTTGAAATTAAAAGAAGTTGCAACATTTTATTCAAATAATGTAATGCATAGTTAAAAATGAGTTATGATTTAAAATATTGTACCTAATATATCTCTTTAATTATATTCATATCAGATTATATCTTTAATGTTTTATATTATGTATGTTTCATTCTTTTGTTTTATATCAATGATTGTTACAAAGAAAATTTAAATTTAAATGTACCTTAAATTACAAATTTGTAAAGTCCTACTCATTACCCGATTGTTTTAATTTAATTTATTTCAATAAGCACTTTTTGAACACACCGTAATTATCATGGAAATCTTAATTGCCATAATAATGAAAGTTTATGAACAATCATAACAATATTTTCACTGAATCAATGTGTTTTATTATTTTATTACAGGTATAAGATAATCACTCATATAATAATTTAGATTCTGTTAATTATAATTTTCTTTTTCAATTATTATTTAAAATGTTTCTATATTATCATTTATTAATACACACTGCTGACTATTAATAAATGATTTACCTATTATTTCAAATAAATACATTTGTATTTGGTAAAAATATACTGAAAAAAATTGAAGGTTCATTATACTGATTTTCTCCATTCTTACTAATGAGAGTATTCTAATAATTTAATATTTTATTAAATTCCAGAACCCGAGAGATGTTACTCATGTCAACGTGAACAATCAATTAAGGGTTTTTCATGTTTGAAATTAAAATAAGATTAAACATTTTATTCAAATATTGCAATACATAGTTATAAATAAGTTATGATTGTTAAATATTATAATATATCTGTTTAATTATATTCATATAACATAATATCTTTAAAGTTTTATATTATGTATGTTTCATTTTTTATAAAATTTGTTGTTAGAAGGTAAAATTTTTTTTATTTCCAAATTGTAATTTAGCAATTATAAACTCCGTTGACATATTTTAAAATTTTCAATTTCATTTTAATTTAAGTGTTTTATAATTTATTGACTTATACACATTTTTTTCAAAAGTTCTTGACAAGCAACCTTATTGTATATTTTCCGTTTATTTAATGTTAGTAAATCTATTGCAAAAACACTGTAGGTGTATAATATCTATAACTGCACATATTTGTTTTTTTCTTCGTCGCTTAAGTTTGAAATTTGTGTTAAATATTGTTGCGATCTGATTTTATTCTATCTTTTGGTATTACCTTAAATTTTAAGGTCATAAACGCTATTAAGTAAGAGAGCTAGAGGACTAGCCATAAAAATCTTGTAATGGATCCTGTAAAAAAATAATTCATCTGTTTCATAAAATATTAATAAACTTTTTCAAATTCAACTGTAATTCTTATTTTAGATTCTGTGTGGAGAGATGAAAGTATTGATTTTACAATGATGTGTGTTTTTTTAAATTTTATAAAGGAAAATGTCAACCATAACTATACAATTATTCGATATAGTATTGCGAAAAAATTTCAAAAATCAATTTAGTAGATATATATTTACTTAGTTATAATATACGGATGAATAACCAATGTCATTACAATATTTCAAACACTCATATGTGTAACCTTTTTTTAGAGGTAGAAAAACTTAAGTGTTATTAATTTATCAAACTTTTTGATACAGTGAAAAAAAGGTTTTATTGCCTTTTATAGAAAAAAACTAAAAAAACCCGAAAATGTCAAATGTATAGTAAAAAAAGTCACCGCTCTCCTCTGCTGTACAATAGTTGTTGAGCAAGTCTTTGTAATATATGTGTTATATTTGAATATAATGATCAATTGTTGTATACGAAAAATGATTCTGTGCGGAGACGTTGTGTATAACTTGAGACTTGTATAAATAATCAAATATTTAAAGTTAAAAAAAAATAATTTTAATAATCGAGAATATCTCATGGATATCTATGAATCGCGTGATTTTAGGTTGAACTTTTTCTTTTTGGGAACATTCTAATATTCTATTACAATTTATAAAGGTATAAATCAAATGCATTGTTGATAACTAGACAAAAATAAGTTAAGACTCTTAATGTTACTATTATAAGTGAAACATTAGTTATATGCCTGTGGATTCCTTCTCTTGCAGTTAGATCAGTAGGTAATTTTACTTAAAAACTCTCTCTGTCAGTGCCGTAGCCAGAAAAAATATTCAAATTATATTTTTTCTTTATGGTGGAAGTGCACATAATTTTTTTTTCTCTAGTTTTGACCCCTTTGTTCATTAAGTGTTTACTACACATTACACTTTTATTGTTTTCTTATGACCCTACAATTATGTTAGCAACCCATGATGGTTACATTTAACATAAGTAGGTACCTCGTTAAGAAATTATACCATAAATTATATTATAATTTATAACTTAAAAGTTAAGTATTTTTGGGAATTTGTATATATAACACTACACCAGTAGGTATACCTGTATACGGTATAAAATCTAAAAAAAAAAAATGATATCTGTATTATGAGTCAATTATATTAATATTGTTGAGGAATCTCCCTCAATCTTATTATGCTATTGTTGTTCTCCTTCGAAAATGATGATGATGATGAGTTGTTCCCTGAGTTGATACAGGAGGAACAGTAGTTGTGTTCCATTGTTCAGAAGTTGACTTTGGATGATATGATGTTGATTCATGAGCAGTAGTAGTTGCATTCCATTGTTCAGAAGTTGAATTTGGATGATATGATGTTGATTCTTGAGCAGCAGTAGTTGGATATTGTTGGGTTGCTGCTTTTAAGTTTTTTGATTTATATAAAGCGGTTGTTGTATTCTGCCTTTCAGTGGTCGTATTAGGATAAAGTGTTGTTGATTGAGTTGAAATAGTTGTGGTAGTATTCCATTGTTCAGTAGTAGAATTCGGATAAAGTGCTGTTGATTGAGAGGAAATAGTTGTTGTAGTATTCCATTGTTCAGTAGTAGAATTCGGATTAAGTGTTGTAGTTCTATTATGTCTTCGCCACAAATAAGAAAATACTCCTGATGGGTCCTTGTATACCTAAAGTTAACATAGAAAAATTAAATAAACACATAAAAAGTATAGTTAGGTATATATTTAATTAAATAATATGTGGACTGTAAAATAACAACAAGTACATTTAAAAGGTGCTTAATATTAAAATACCTATAAAATACCTATAAAAGTGCATATAAAGTACTCAAAATTACTATTAATTGCATAAAACCATCTGATTTATTCAATAAGTAAAATTTCAGATTCTGAGCGGAGCAGTGAAAGTATTCATTTTAAAATTTTGTGTATATTCACACGTTTTATATTAGAAAAAATGCTTCAATCTTGAATTTTAAAAGTAGTTTTAGATATTAAACTAGAGAAGGAATTTTCATTTTAGATGTCAATTTATAGTATTTACAAAATAATAAGGAAATACAATAATTATTTATGGAAAAACGATAATTTTTCAAACTCCAAAATTAAAATAATGCATTTTTTTTTGTTATACTTCAAAAATAAATATTTATAGAGACTTGACAGCTTCACCAAATATTTATATAAACATTATCTAATTTTTATTTAATTTTTACTTAATTTGTGCAATTTACAGATATTTGAAATTGCTGACGTTAGTTTCGAATTATATATGATTAATGTTTTTTTTGTTTGTATAAACCTTGTTTAATACAAGATCCTTTGTAAGTTGTTATTTATTAACATAAAAATTTTTAAAGTACATAGGTACTTCTAATTATATGCATTCAATATTTCAATATTCAAATTTTTATAAGAATTGGAAATAATTTTGTAGTTCAAAACTCATAAAGTTTGTAGTACATCTTACTTCCAATTTAAAAATTAACACATAACAGCTCTACATTAATTTTAAAAAAAAGTTGATTGCACAGTTATTTTTTATGAGCATCTGCATTTAAACTGTTGACAATAATTAATGTTTAAATGCAAAATAACAATTTATGATAACACAATTTTTGATTTTTGTTTTGTTTCAAAAAAATTATATATTCAGAAACATCGAAAATTCCACTATTACTTAAATTATAATTTTTAATGAAATTGAAAATACATTTAGACAATTTGAGCTATATATTATACTTATAATCAAATGGACATTTTTATTTATATAGTTTTTTTCTATAAATATTGATAAAATACGTTATTGCCGAATAAAAAAGCTTGAAAAGTTAATACAATATACTCAATAATTTGTATCTAAAACATAAAATGTCAAAAATACATGGGAATAATTTATTTTCATAAGCTCATTAAATTAATGTTTTGACAAAAATCTTCAAAATCGTGAACATTTGCTAATTGTTTTAATAAATTTATAAAATATTGAAAATTTAATAAATCATTCCTCGTAAGTTGTTCTTACAGATACCAAGAAATCTAAAAATAAAATTTTTTATTTTTAGACATTTCAAGTTTAAATTCGACGAAAATTAGATTTTGGTAAGTACCTAGGTACATATATATCTATTCAGTATTGACCGCTGATATTAAACATAAGGATACGGCTTTACATTTTCACTACACTTTTAAGCCATTACCTATAACTGAGAGAAACTATAGTTCTCATTTGAATAGAAACTTCTCATAAAGAAACCAGTATTACAATACAACATTAGTGTAGAGGGATGTAACAATATTAATGTTAACAGCAATATTTCAGTTGTGGTAATACAGTAAAACTCGCTTAAGACGCCCTTTAAGGGACCAGCTCTCTAGAACGTCTTAAGCGGGAAAGCGTCTTATGCGGGAATGAAACAAAATTATGTGGTTGAAATAAATATAAATTTTTTTATTATTAAACATAATTTAATGAGAAATACACTTATAAATTAATTATAATTACAATATACATACATACTTATATTTTTGTGCTACTGAATTTAATTTAAAAAAATATTATAGTTATAGATTTTTGAACAATGCTGTTTCGATAAGTTTAATCTCTAATTTTTTTATTTTATTTATTACTTTATTTGTGATAACTGATAAATTAATTAAACTAGTTACAAAAACTATTTAACTTGCCTAGCATTGAAAACTAGTGCTTTCAATATATAGTTAAATATTATAATACTAATATAGTAGGTACCTACCTGTTGTTTGATGTAAATATCACTATTTTGGACTGATTTAATTATTTGTTTTGCTTCAATAGTAGATTCAGAACACCAAAGAAGTAAGAACGCCACCTATTATAATATCATATAATATAAACATATATTACATAAAATTAAATTAATCATAAATGACAAATTAAAAATAAATTGTACTTACCAGAAGGTAAAGATATTTCAAAGAGAAATTCATATTGTAATAAGTCTTTAATTAAATCTGTTACTTTAATACAATAAGAATGTAAAATGAAATTCTTGCAATGTTTCACAAGTATTTATACTAAATTCTAATTGACTACCTAACTAGTATAGGTATGTGGTGAGTGGTGACTGGTACCTATACTAAGAAATTTAATTATTCATCTTAAACACTATGAAATCGTGCAAAGTGATTTCTTTCTACAGCTTATCAATTAGTACCTAGGTATATTTATAATCAGATACATACTTGAAATCAATTAATTTGTTACATTAAGCTTCGTACAAACATTACTCATCATGTACCTACTTGAATATTAGATAACCCAAACAATTTATTTGGAACACTGCGACTCAGCGTGTCGTTCAAAATTCAGATACATATAATTAAATTACAATTTACGTGTATTTAATTAATTATAATCTAAGCAACAATTGACTGATAAAATTATATTCTTCATATAGGTAGTGCAATATTTTTTGTTTTCAATTTACACTTTTTTAAAATTTAAATTGGAACAAATGATTCTTTTAAGTTAATAGAATATCCAAACAGTTTTCGTGAAAATTATCGAAGACTGTTTAAAAGTTAAAATATATATAGGTATTAGAAGATAAAAGTTTACCTACCCATTTGAACACATTTTTTTTTTATTTCCAAATTGTAATTTAGCAGTTATAAACTCCGTTGACATATTTTAAAATTTTAAAATTCATTTTAATTTAAGTGTTTTATAATTTATTGACTTATACACATTTTTTCCAAAAGTTCTTGACAAGCAACCTTATTGTATATTTTCCGTTTATCCAATGTTAGTAGATCTATTGCAAAAACAATGTAGGTATATAATATCTATAACTGCACACATTTCTTTTTTTCTTCGTCACTTTAGTTTGAAATTTGTGTAAAATGTTGTTGCGATCTGATTTTATTCTATCTTTTGGTATTACCTTAAATTTTAAGGTCATAAACGCTATTAAGTAAGAGAGCTAGAGGACTTAGCCAAACAAATATTGTAATGGATCCTGTAAAAAAATAATTCAACTGTTTCATAAAATATTAATAAACTTTTTCAAATTCAACTGTAATTCTTATTTTAGATTCTGTGTGGAGAGATGAATGTATTGATTTTACAATGATATGTGTTTTTTTAAATTTTATAAAGGAAAATGTCAACCATAACTATACAATTATTCGATATATTTTTGCAAAAAAATTTCAAAAATCAATTTAGTAGATATAGAGGTACTTAGTTATAATTTACGGATGAACAACCAATGTCATTACAATATTTCAAACACTCATATGTGTAACCTTTTGTTAGAGGTAGAAAAACTTAAGTGGAATCTTGTATTAATTTATCAAACTTTTTGACACAGTGAAAAAAAGGTTTTATTGCCTTTTATAGAAAAAAATTAAAAAAACCCGAAAATGTCTAGTAAAAAAGGCACCGCTCTCCTCTGCTGTACAATAGTTGTCGAGCAAGTCTTTGTAATATATGTGTTATATTTGAATTCAACGATAATTATTGTTGTATACGAAAAATGATTCTGAGCGGAGTTTATAACTTGAGACTTGTATAAATAATCAAATATTTAAAGTTAAAAAAAAATAATTTTAATAATCGAGAATATCTCATGGATATCTATGAATCGCGTGATTTAGGTTGAACTTTTTCTTTTTGGGAACATTCTAATATTCTATTACAATTTCTTATGTTACCTATGAATGGAAAAACTTTTATGAATTTCCAATTAAAAAATAATTGACAACAATTGAAAAAAATACGATATCATGGCTATAAGTAACTCAAATTTTATCAGGTATGGAAAATGGTTTTATAAATATTTGGTGATCATTTCAAGAGTCTTCGGTTATTCGTTTTGGAAATATAACAAAACATCAATGATCGATTAATTGGAATTCGATAATTTACCGCTTAATATTAATGCGATAATTTCAAAAGCTCATAAAAAATTCCGTTTAATTAAACTTTTTTTTTGAATCTTATCTATGAAAAGAAAAATGTAGCATAGGTACCTAAATAATAATAACCAATTATGTTCGTTCTATAGGAATTATTTTTCGACTCAGTCTACATTATATAATATTATAATATTATGTGGATTTTCTTATACTATTATCGGATAATAGCTCTGTATATATTCAAGATGCAAATGTCATAAAAGTTCATTACGAGTAGTTATATTTGGTCGCTCCGATTTACTTTCAGTTACCTTTCGTTTACAATTATTACGAACTATTTGTGAATATTATGATTTTCTACAGTATACTATGAAATAATTCGGTGTTTGGCAAGTTCCTTATAAAAAAAATTCATTCCGTTCCTTGTTCTTTAAAAAAAAAAAAATTTATTCCTTTGGAAAATTAACGAGTTCCCTTTTTAGTTCCAAATAAAATAAAAATTCTTATTTAATCATTAATGGTTTTTTTTTTATATGCATACCTACTTCTTTAACTTTATAATTATAATATTTTATACCTTTAAGTAGGTACATATTTTATAATTCAATTTTCTTCAAAATTAAATTGTTGGCCGACGTATGTCAACTGACTTATCGTTTATTGTTATAAATCATTATATTATATATAGTTACTCATTTCTATATAAATTTAAACTTATAACTTATGAGAAATATTTATAAAGTGTTAAGTGACAAACAGTGGCGTAGACTGAATTTTTTCCGTGGGGGGGGGGCTGATCAACTTTTACCGAACTTTTTGAGCGACTATCATAGACCATACAAATATTTTTTTAATTTTCTTAACATTTCGGGGGGGCTGCAGCCCCTCAGCCCCCCCCGGCTACGCCACTGGACTGCCAAATGACTAATGAGTAACGATTAACTTCGATAATGATCACTAATAACGATAAAGCATTGGGAACAACTTTATCTGTGTCGTAGCGTTTTTATTATTCGCATAACATAAATTCAATTAAAGTTATCAGTTGAGAACATTATTATTTTTTTTTCATTTAATTATAACAAATTATTGGTAAATGCTATGAAAAAAAAAATAAAAACGCTAAGACACAGATGATAAAGTTGTTCACTATGCGTTGTGGAATTTTACTAATTCTTTTATAAATACCAAGGGAGTGCTTCTATCCCGAAAAAAAAACAGTTTTTGCTAGGTATGTTGTACATATTTTGTAAGACGGAGACAACTCATATGGGTATCACATCCTCTTAAGGGTTGGTGGGCGTGTAATTGCCAATAGGCAATAGATCATAATTTACTATTAACGATCAATGCAGCAAAAATTGGTTCTGCAAAATGTGCAATGCACATGGGCATCCAGATCTAGAGAGCCTCCAAAAACCAAAAGCTAAAATTGCCAGGTAAAAATGTTAAAATTCATAAAAACTTTGCTTTTTATATCTATCAAATTTGAAAATTTAATTCCACGTACGTTTTTTCTTTAACAAAAAAAAAGTAGGAAGGTAAATTTACCGAAAAGTCAAATAAATTTTTTTTGAGGGTTTGAATTTAGATTATAATTATGATTTATCATGGATCGATTTTCTTATTTTGTTGCAATTCAAAAACGAATAACAACCAGTGGCGTAATAAATTACGAATTGGTTCTGGGGTGTGATATAAGTTTTTATAATAGTAATACCTCGAAGGACTAATTAAGTCCCTATATCCCTATTAAATTTCATAGATCATAATTCATAATATTATATTTATTTATTTAAAATTGGCATTTATAGGTAATTGCATTTATTCACAATTTTAAATTTTAAGGTAATTTGCTTACAGCATTTTTGGATTTTTGAAGCAGTTTTGAAATATTTAAATCCGAAATTAAAAGATATCTAAAATATAGGTATTATAGTAAAAATATTTTTATATTTGTGCGTTTAAAGTTGGATATTTAGGCTTAAAAAACTATTTCTCATTAAACGGTTATCTAAATTTGATAAAAATAACCAAGAAACAGCGTAAAACGGAAGTATATTGTATGAAAAAAATACGAAATTCATTAAAATTACTAAAGTATATAAATTATTTTGCTACTATGATTATAAAACTGTAAGTTAAATAACATATTTCTTTTACGTAAAATCCCTTATAGGACAACCTCTGGCGGTCGTGGGCTTCTATCAAGTTTCCATCAGCTCAGCCAGTGGTTTTATGCTTCTTAATTAAATGTTTTTCTTGATGTATATTTTTTTATCTTTTTTTACACATTTTGTTATTTATTAATTGTTAGTAAAACATGTTACAGAATGGTTCATACATTTTTCACAAAGTGTAATTCCAAAAATATTATTCGTAAGGACTTGAAAATCATAAAAAAAATAAATATAAATCAACATTTTTTACCGATTGTCACAATATGCATTTTTTTTTACTCGACACCATGAAATATTAAAAATATTTAGATTAATTTTAATTTATTCACAACATTTCCTACGTTGTATTTACTTTTAAATAAATGAGAACTTGTAAGTAGGTAATATTATTTGAAAATTTTAAATAATAGAAGAACATTAGCTAGTAGGTATATTCTAACATAAGCAACAATTTGTTTACTTATAAATTAATTTAAATAATTTTAAAAATTATAAGACAAATTTCAAGCTATTTATTGGGATTTTGTATTTTTCAGTTTTTTCATTTTAAATGCTGATAGGAGCAATGAATGAATTGATTTTACAATGGTGTGTGTTTTATTTAAACAAAAAAAATTGTTTGTCTGTGTACACGATAAGTAGATTACACAACTTATGGTGTACTGAGATAATAAATATATATAATAATGCTTATATTTTAAACTGTACAGCAAAGTGTCGCCATTTACTCGTTTTTTCTTATTGGGAATAGTTAGCCACGAGTTACTAACCACGTAACTAAGCCACGAGTTTACAAGAACAAACTATATTATATAATAATATTATGTAATATTTCTCGAGACGTAAGATACCGACAATTTTCTTTATTATTGAGTACAATTTAATAAT